CTCAGAATAAAAACTTCTCTTTAACCTCACTTTTGTGCGTCCTTTTCTCCTTACTGTGGCCTTACATACTGCTGTTGTGTCCTCACGTCTCACTTAGAACCCGTCTTCTCTGGATTCCAAAATCCATGCCCTCTCCAACAAAGCAAGCTTCTCTTCCTGTGGCACACAGCATGTAGATATGGAGGTGACCTAGCTGATAAATGAAAGCAAACTAAAATGAAAAGGCTCTTTACATTTTAACATGTTCCTCCTTTGAAGAGAAATTTTAGTTCAAAGTTGGTTTTTGCAATGACAATGAACAAAATTTGATGCAAAGGACTAGCCCACTGAAACTACCATTTCCAGGGCATGTTGGGTGGAATTTTGGGCAGGGGGCCCCTTTCTGGTCCTCTTGAATCAGACTTCTTTGAATTCTTGAATCAGACTTCTTTGAATTAGACTTATGACAAACCCTTGTGACATTGGGTTTTGACTTTTTCCTATCCCTCCCCCTTTTTTTTAAATCTCCAGTTTGCCTGCCTCTGGAAAGTGGCAGTGATTTGTGGGAACACTGCTTGTTGCCCCTTGCAGCCACTCTCCACTGCTATAGGACAGATAGCTCAGAAACTACTTGTCAAACTGATTACTACTAGGATTAGTATTGGTCCCAGTCATTTCCTTAACATAACAATGGGCTTGTTAGAGAACAGTCCAGCTTAATTAAGCCTGGCCTATAACCAGAAGCCTATTTTGAGTTTCAAGTGTCTCCGGCATTGGACTTTAATTATGATCATTAGAGGAGTATGAGGGCAAGAGTTTTTAGTTTCAGGAACTACAGTAGTCTGCTTCCAGTTCCAGTCTTCAAGATCCTATAATGTTAAGCAATCAGTGTGGCTCTGATTACTTCATAATAGAGTTTGATACTTTCAAAGCAGAGCAGTGCATTATTTTTAAAGATATAAAACCATTTCCAGGGAGAGGCCATGCCAGACACAGGCGAACATATTTAGTATCAAAACTTTATAATATGGTACAAATCTTCATGAAGCCCAACGTCTCCTGAAAGTTTACATTCCATGAGTGTTTCACATCCCACCCATTGTAAATAGTATACTTTGAAATGACATTTTGGCCTTACCATGAAAATGTTAAATAAATCCAGGTCCTGAAGCTCTTTGGACTGTCAGACTGAGACAAGTTAGGATTGAGTGCTCACCACCCGCCACCCGTTTGAGGCAGGGAGGCAGTAAATGTACATATTATTGCCCTTTCATTAGAGATTCATTCCTTTAGGTCAAGGGTTCTCACTTTGGCTGCACACTAGAATTATCTGGAAAACTTTTTAAAAATGACTGATACTAGAGCCCTAGCCCCAGAGATTCTGATTTAATTGGTATATGGTGGGGCCTCCGCAAAGGAATGCTTCTCAGTGCAGCCAGAGCTGAAAACCACTACTTTAAGTCAATGAAAATGCAAATAAATGTTCTTCAGAGTAAGTCATTTTTCTCTTAATATGACTTTGTGTAATGATTGTTTTCTTGATAGCAGTATAAATCAGCCCATTAAAGGAATGAGAATGTTGAGTTTGGGTGGAAAAAAAACTAGAGAGCAGGGGATGGGGTTATACAGCAAGACGACCCTGGGTAAGGAGGACAGCAACAGGAAGTGCAGTTGTTGTTTTGTGCCATTGAGTCCATTTTGACTCATGGTGACCCCATGTGACATGAACTGTCCCATAGATTTTCCTAGGCTGTAATCTTTATGGGAAGGAGCTCTGGTGGTGCAGTGGTCAGGCACTTGGTTGCTAACTGATCGGTGGTTTCAACCCGCCAGCTGCTGTGAGGGAGAAAGTTGAGACAGTTTGCTTCTGTAAATATTTACAGCCTTGGAAATCCTATGGGGCAGTTTTACTCTGACCTGTAGGGTTATGGTGAATCAAAATCAACTTGATGACAACTTTTTTTTTTCTTATGGTTACTCTTTACAGGAGCAGATAACCAGGTCTTTTCTCCCACAGAAAGCCGGTGGGTTTGAATCTCTGACCTTTTGGTTAACAGCACAGCTAACCATTTTCCCACCAGGGCTGAACTCAGAAAGATAAAAGGGACTGAAGACAAAGCTCTGCGTTCCAGGACTTTGCCTCTGGTTTTTGGTAAAATACAGGCAGAGTCTGATGACGCATGCTGATACATCAACAACATAAGTCAGGATGAGGGGTGGGGTGGTAGGCAGGGAAACCGAACCATTAGTTAGGCTATGGCCTCAGTATGTCCTCGGGCATACCGACTACTGGGTGGGCTGTGGCAGCAAGGGTTGAGGAAGAGGACTGAGTCTTAAAGTAAGATAGGCCTTGTCATCAACTTAATTATCCATTCAGTGCAGGGTCCCATGCAATTGGAAGACCAGAAGCAGTCTTGAGAGAACAAGCCCAAAATAGGCAGAGTATCAGAGCTCTAGCCAAGTTAACTGGGGTTCAGTGAACGTCTATCATCTATTCATCTGGCGAGAAATTGGGCAAGAAGCCAAAGAATATGGACCGGGCCAAAATAGCCATGAAGAAGGCAAGATGGCAACACTCCAAGCATAACACTCACCAGAACAAATCTCTAGCTGATTTTCCATCCCCTCTCAACTTGTGTGAATGAGGCTACTAAAATATTCCTGGTTGTTATTGATCTTGACTGGCAAATACTGAAAAGGCACTAAGCTTTCACATGAAAGCTGTGTGTGACCTCAACTGAAACCGGTTGAGAAAGGCAGGCTCTGACATCTTCCCAATCTGCTGGACATTATGCTGCTTCTTAACATTGTGGACACCTTAAGCAAACCTTCTGAGAGGGACCCTTTGTGAAGGGTCCAAAATACAATGGAAAAGGACCAATTCTTCTTCTTCTTTTAAATTTGTATTGTGATTTGTGTGAAAGTTTACAGAGCAAATTCACTTTCCATACAGCAGCTCATGTACACTTTGTCTCATGACATTGACTACAATTTCCCACATTGCGACAGCTCCCCTCTCACAGGAAGTTACCCCATAGTTACCACTTCCCTGTGTCCTTCCCTCCCATGCACTCCTGTCCCCCTGAGCTGTCTCCCTGTGCATACAAAGCAAACCAAACTCACTGCCCTCGAGTTGGATCCAACTCATAGCGACCCCTCCTTGGGTTTCTGAGGTGGTATCACTGCAGAAGTAGATTGCCCAACCTTCCTTCCGAGGAGTGGCTGGTGGGTTTGAACTGCCAGCCTTCTGGTTAGCTGTCAGATACCTTAGGCACTATGGATTGATCTCTCCAAGGAGTGTATCTATCTAATGTAAATGTTCAGCTCATATACCTGTCTTTTGTTTGGCTAGAAGCCACAGGAGTGGGTTCAATTCCAGACCTGAAGGGCAGTTAGGAAAAGGACTCGTTCTTTTGTACAGGCTTGACAGTATTTGCAGATAATAGAAATAGTTGAAAGATTGGTTTTGTCTGATCTGCTCACAAT